TGTTTTATTTTCATTTTCATTTAGTTCAAAATATTTTAAAATTTCTCTTGAGATTTCTTATTTGACCCATGTGTTGTTTAGAAATGTGTTGTTTAATCTCCAAATAAATATTTGGGGCCTTTCCAGTTAGCTTTCTGTTGTTGATTTCTAATTTAATTCCATTGTTATCTGAGAGCATACTTTGTTTGATACCTATTCTTTTAAACTTGTTCAGATATGTCTATCAAATTTGTTAAGGTGTGGTCTAACTTGGTGAATGTGTCATGCCAACTTGAGAAGAATATAGAGTCCAAAATGGGTTTCTCTGGAACCAAATCAAGATGTCTGCAGGGTTGCACTTCCTCTGGAGGCTCCAGGGAGAATGTTTCCTTGCAAGTTCCAGTTTCTAGAGGTCCCCTGTGTATAGCTCTTTACTTTAAAGTTCATTACTTAACCTCTTTTTCTGTTATCACATTTCCCTTCTTTTTGTGACCCTCACACATTCCTCTTTTAAGGTCTCTTGTGGTTACTTTAGGCCTACATAGACAATACAGGATAATCTCTCCATCTCAGGATCCTTAACATAATCACATCTGTGAGGGGCCTTGTACCATGTAAGGTAATGTATTCACAGGTTCCAGGAATTAGGATGTAGATATCTTCGGGGCAGAGGTAGTTATTCTGCCTTTTGCAATAGTAGAGTTAGGATGTGAATGCAGAAAGCCTACTCTTTGAACCACTTCTGTGTTCTTTCTGCCTTCCCTGCCACTACACATCTAATTATCTCATTTGTGCTGTGTTTTAATTGTCAATATTTACCTCTCCCACTGGGATGTGACCCTTGTAGGGAAGTTCAGACTTTCCCTCTGAAGGCCCAAGTCTAAGTCTGCTGAAATGAATTGACAATAGACAGATTAACAAGAGAAAAAAAACAAACAAAATTTTTTGTGTCTTTAGGTATGGGAGCCACACATAAAGTATGAGACTCAAAGTAGAGCCAGATGATTAAAGTTTTTGTACTATACAGAAGGAATAGTGGTTTGGGTTATGGAGACAGGTTATGGGAGGGAGAGGGGAGGAAACACAATGTGAGCAAAAGCTGTCTTGTTAGGCAGATGCGGCCTCACTGGTTCTCATAAAGAATAGATGTAGCCTGTAGTAGGTTTCTCTGTCAGGCCTTTAAAGGTGCCACACCTTTAGTCTCCTATTCCAGTGAGATAATCTTTCCTGGGTTGTATAAAAGGCAGATAAGGGGATCTCAGAGAAAGTCTGTTTGCATCCACTATTTACTTCACTAATATAGGTTTCTTCTTCAGATACAGATCTCTCCCACATAAGGACAGCTTTTCAAAGTTATTCCTGTGTCTGCAGCCCCTCTGAATAGCAATCTTGAAATATGCCAAAAAAGTATATTTTGGGGTGGTATATTTTGGTTTCTTTCATCTTCCTGAAACAGGACATGTAGCGTTTGAACCAAATGAGTTCAGATAAAGAAAATTATATGCAACGATAAGGCATCAACAATAGAGGAAATAATGTTCTCTTTTTATTCCCTGGCCCTTTAAGGCTGTGTGTGTTGACTTTTGCAGTTAACCAGTTAGTTACTAATATTAACATAAATTATAATTTAAAAATTAAGGTAAATATCTGCACATACATTTAAATTTAAGTAGCCCCCTGAGGCTAGTGGCTACTGTATTAGCACAACTCCAACCTCTGCCGTTCCTCTAAACTGCTCTTTCAGAATTGTAATGTATACCTTAAAGATGGTTTATCTGAAATGAAAATTCTTCTAATAACTCATGTTGCCTTAATTTTGATTTTTTTTCTGTGTGTGGGAACAGAGGTAAAATGATATTCAGAGGAATTTTATATTATTACAACCAATTTTAGATAGAACAGATTTGCCATTTAATTTGTTTTGCCAGATACTCTTCTTCCAGTCATCTGAAAGCATAACTCTATAATATTCCTTTACTCCTTGAAGTACTTTGAGAGAATTTAATTATTAACACAGGCTTCTGTAACAAAGGAGTGTGTGAAACCGCATTTGGATAGTATTTTAATTATGCTGGCAAATTGAACTACTTTTCTGTGCAGTTTGTGTGAACCCCACCCATACTTTAACCAGTTTACCATTTTGGTGCAGTCCAAGCACAACAAAAACAGCAACAAAAAAATCTTCCTGTGTGGCCTGTACTTATCAAATCTGAAGATTATTAAATGCATTTCCAGCCAGGGACCGTAAGCAAACAAACTCTCAGGCAGATAACTACACCCTTCCTGTTTTGGGATGGAGTTTACTGTGGAACAGATTTTGGAAACAGGTTTCTGACAGTTGTGAATTTTATGAGATATTGGAGGGTGAGGTCTTCCTTTAACAAGAAACTAATTATTTCCTGTCTGATGCCCAACCAGTGCATTTTAACCAGTCTTTTTAGAAAATTTACCCTATAATAGAGAATTATGTTGCTTTCAGCAGCTCTGGTTCTTTTAAACTAATGTACAAAGATTTGTCTGTTTCCAACTAATTAATAAATTTGTCTATTTCCAACTAATAATTTTGAATTTTTTAATTCAAAAAGGACTTAGAAAAAATACTACAAGCATTTAAAGTTTGTGTTTCCTCTGTTCTTTAGAGTGACAGTAGTTTATAGTTTAAAGGTATTAATATTTTAATACGGTTTTATTTTTCATATGCAAATCTATAGCATATTTATGTTCTGTAAATATGCTAAATGAAGAGTTACAGTTTAGGTAAAAAGTATATTTACAAATTAAGGAATTTGCAGGTTAATTCACAGTGTAACATTGTCCTCATCTAGTACATCTGTTATAAAGAAGCCTGTAAAATTTAGGCCACCCACCAAGTGGTCGGTCTGCTGAGGCCTGTGGTTGGTGTTAGAATACTGTTATTTCTGTGGGCGACTGGTTTGGTAAGGAATTTACCTCCACTGTGAAACACGGTTCTGACTTTCCCTTATGGCGACTGCATTGGCTTGACTTCGGTACTTTGTGTTTGTTAGACTGGTCATAATGTGTTCTACTGCCTTGACATCACATGTAATCCTATGCAAATGGTATCATGTTTTCTAAGTTGGCTTATCAGAATACTAATATCAGTTCTGAGTCATTTAAATCCCAAAATAAACTGGAATAAATGGTTGGTTTAAATTGCTGAATTAAACGTAACGGCTATTATGATTACTCGCTATTAATAGATTAAGATTAATCACTATTTAGAAAAACGTGTGTGTATGTGTGTGTATTAGTGCTGAGGTGAAGAAGGCAGCTAAGGGTTTTATGTATTTTAATTAATGTGTCATTTGAAGAGCTTATCCTTTAAATTTCCTTGAGACTTGTGAGTTGTTTTCAAGAGCAATTTAGTATAGCAACCTAAAACTGAGTCAAAATTAAACATTCTTTAAATAGCATTTTTTAAGTGATCGAAACAAATATTGTAGACATTTTTAAAATACAGCAGCAGCTACCATAACTAGCAGTCACTATCTGAGGAGTAGAGACCATCATAAACCAAGCAATGTCTCAAATCACATTAATAAAGTTTTTCAAAATGAACAGAAAAATTTTTTTGATAATAAACAATGTTTAGTTGAATTTTATTTTTCTAATTTAACAATAACAGTGTAACAGTTCTTTTAAATCAGACAGTTTATATTTCACTTAATTTTCATGAAGACTTAACTGTAATTTTTCTTTATTTTATTTTATTTTTTTTTGGTGGCTGGCTGGTTTGGGGATCAGAACCCTGGATCTCGGTGTTATCGACAACTCAGCTAACTGGCCAGCTCTATTTTTCTTTAAATACTACATGAATTACTGAGTATGAAAAATAGCATAGAAATCTAAAAATGCATTTTGTGACTACAAATTAAGAAAGTGACATTTAACGTGGAAGAAACTTAGCAGTTTTTGGACAGAAAATATCTAATTGCCACTGATAAAAATTATATATGCATATTGATGTAAAATAAATATACACATTGAAGAGGAAAAACATACATATATACACGTATGTGTATACATATACATTAATGTGTGTGTATAACATATTGTTTTGATCTGAACCCTGCCTTGGTGACTTTAACTATGGTTAAATTATTATTATTTTTTTTTTTAAAGATGACCGGTAAGGGGATCTCAACCCTTGGCTTGGTGTTGTCAACACCACGCTCAGCTAGTGAGCCAACCGGCCATCCCTATATAGGATCCAAACCCGTGGCCTTGGTGTTATCAGTACCGCACTCTCCCGAGCGAGCCACAGGCCGGCCTAACTATGGTTAAATATTTATAAAAATTTTTTTTCAAGTAGATACCTTCAGCATTCTTTTTTTTTTCCAGTCATTACACAGTGTAAACATTTTTTGTGGCCTTAACCAATTTCTCCCCAATCCCACTTCCCCTCCCTCTTTCCCACCTCTGGTGTCCTCAGTTCCATCCTCTCCTTTTGAGAGTTCAAGGAATTATTATAATTATTGTATATTTCTTTTTTTTCCCCCAGCTCTCACTGATGAGAGAGGACATGCAGTATTTCTCCTTCTGTGCCACTTTCAGCAGTCTTATAGTTGTTTGTTGTATACTATACAGAATTTTGAATTTGTTATCTGGCCATGATTCATAAAGAATCTGAAGTCTGGGGCTCAGAAACTTTTTTCTTCCAAACAAATAAATGAACAAAGTAATTGATGTGCCTTACCTAGCCTTTGTTCTTAGATTTTCCTCCTGTTTAGTCTGATCTCTTTTGAGTAGACCACCTTACACTGACAGTTGCCGTGCCGAACTGCTACATTCAGTGAAGTGGTGTATCAGTGTTTTTCTACTCATGCAAGTTGTCAGGAAATCTCAAAGATAGTCAGTCAGATAGAGCAGTGCTGACCATGCAAGGAAAAGAGAGGTTCAGCTGTGTTATCGTATCATCATAATTCTGCCAGCTCAATCAATTAAATGTCTGGCTAATTGTTTTCACTCTGAGCTAACCAGAATGTGTCTAACCTTTCTAGGTTTACCGACAAGACTGTGAAACTTTCGGGATGGTGGTGAAAATGCTGATTGAAAAAGATCCTTCATTAGAAAAGTCTATACAGTTTGCATTGAGGCAGAATTTACATGAAATAGGTGAGCGGTGTGTTGAAGAACTTAAGCATTTCATTGCAGAGTATGATACTTCTTCTCAAGATTTTGGAGAGCCTTTTTAGAAGATTATTGCTCAGGCAAAAAAGGTTTCTAGATTTTTTCCCCCTGGATTGTGGAAATCCTTAATATATGGAATTTTTGTGATAAAGAGAAATACTTTGATAGTTGACCACATTTCCAATATCAAATCAACATCTAAAATTGTTTAAAATATTTGAATTAGGATTTTTTTCTACATGTAAAGCGTCCTAATTTATACTACTTTTTTTTTGTATTATTTTTCCTGAAATGATGGGTCAGTTAATTTTCAAGCTTTAAAAAAGCAGTCCTGGAGAACCGTTTTCTGTACTTTTGTTCTGTAGTCTTCCACAGTATGTGATCATTTGGTTACAAGAGTGTAATTTACAGGTTAGAGATCATTCCACTTAAACATTAGTAGTCTTTTTGCATTTCATAGTGAATGATGCCATGTGAAAATGTTAGAATTCTGAGTTGTGGTTTTAATGACTTGTTGCTTGCTTTCCTTAGGCTTTGTAACTTTTAATATGGTAAAGTATACTTTCCTAATAAACTGAATACTCTGGTATATAGAGAATATTTGCTTTGAGAATAATTCTCATTCAGTGATAAGATAGAGCACTTAAATCTCTGAAAGACACCTCAGAATAAAATCCTTTTTTCCAAGTTAAAGAATTCAGGTCTCCTATTAATCCGGAAACTTCTGACTACCCTCACTGATGTGTGAGTCTTAAAAAAAGTATCCTACACAAGGGCCGGCCCAGTGGCGCACTGCTACAGTGCGCCGCTTGGGAGCGCGGCGGCGCTCCAAGACTAGTAGAAGGGGAAAGGTGACATGAAAGATGGGGCATGTTTTAAAGGTGAGATTTCTTAAAAACACATACGATCAAAAGAGGAAAAATCTAGAATATGGAGGAGTAGTGGATTTTTTTTTTTCCCTATAGGCCCATACTCCCTTATTTCAAGAAATAAGGTGATAACATGTCCATGATTAAACGTAATAGTCTAATGGGTTCTTTGTTCAGCCTTTTAGAGGTTTTTAGCCCTTCAAAAGTATTCTTTTTTTTGGGGGGGGTGGCTGGCTAGTGCAAGGATCCAAACCCATGACCTTGGTGTTATAAGGCTGTGTTTCAAAAGTATTCTTGAAAGAAACAAAACCGAGTAGGCGCTAAGCCCAGCGTAGCTACCCCTTACCAAGCAGTCTATGTAAACAATCTTTCATGAGTGAGCCATCCAAATCACGGGTTAGTTAAGAATCTAACTGGGATGATTAGGATATTCCACTCATTTCCTGGTCTGTTCCAGCAGCCCAGTGGCATTGAGCCAAAATATATACTTCTATGGTATCAGTTAGAGAGAGGAAAGCTTAAAAATCATGTTTGTTATTACTACCCAATTTCATTATCCTCCCATCCTCTTTCCATTTCCACTCTCTTCTCACTTGAATTCTGGCATTATTTTTAGCAGTCTCTGTTGATAATATCTAAAGAGCTACCCTAGAGTTCATAAAAATTATATTAAAAATGGAAATAGCAGTGTAATTTTAATGGGTCCTATCATGGATGCCTCAAAATACATATTATGCCATTCCACAAATTTAAAGCTAATAGATGAACTAGACAGTTAGCTCAGTTGGTTAGAGCACAGCCTTATATCACCAAGGGTCATGGGTTCAGATTCCTATACCGGCCAGCTGCACCTCCTGCATGTGCTCCCCCCTCCCCCCAAAGAAAGAAACAAAACTACTTGAGGGCAACAATTATTTTTTGAGATTTCCTAAATGAGACCGTATTGAATTTTTATTTTTTGCCATTTAAACATCGTACTTATCTAACTCTTATAAAACATAAACCAAATTAAATCCCACATATCATCTCTGGTATTCTTCCTTAATAGGAACAGTGATTTTTTGGGGGGGGTTACCCACTTTAGAAAGACTAAGAAAGTACTAGTTTTGTCCCCCTCCCCCCACCATGTTTTTCTTAAATATCGTAATCCCAGGATTCATTTCCTTTAGTTAAGATGTCACAGTTGAGAAACTACCAGAGGCAAAGGAATTGTTCACTTTGTTGAAATTCATTAGAGAAGTCTTACTAACAGATGCATTTAAATGTAGTCTTACTAACAGATGCATTTAAATACATTTAAGTCTTACTAACAAATGCATTTAAATGCATTTTCCCTTCCCCCAAATTACATTCAACATTTAAAGCTGTTTATAGCTTGCCGTCAGCATTATTCTGATAAGCTTGTCAGTGTTAAATCTGCTTTTTGTTTTTAAGTCTTTAAATGTCTAATTTTAGGATAGATGGATTCAGATGTGTACCAGAGTGTATTTTGCAAAATGTTCTGGATTAAAAATATTTGTTTAGCAATTATCCATTGTTTTTGAGTATACCCAGTTGATGCGATAAAATTTTTATTGTATTACCATAAAGCCTTGATGATCAACAGAGGGGAAAGCAGATATTGTAAAGCTATATTGTAAAGCTTTTTGTGAATTTTAAAAGTGTAAAATAAAGCAACCAGGTTTAAATAATTAGATTGTCTGTTCTCTTATTTTAATAGGCTTAAGGTATTTTGCTGAAATTTAGACTTTATTACTCCACAGCAATATTGTTCCCTAGTGTTTGGTCCACCTACTCGGCAGCAGGATGGAGGAAGTCTGAGAATTGAAAAACTATTAACTTTGGTGACTTAAGGTATCTTGATGTCCAAGAAGCAGTTAAACAAGAAAAGAATGCCTGACACACAGTAGTTCTCAATAATTGTGTAACTCTGAATCTGAATGAAATTTAAAGAATTGTAGGATTCTACATCTTTGTAGTAAGTCCTGGAGGGCAGGGACCTTGTCGTTGGGACCCCAGTTTTTAGCACAGTTTGGAGTGGTGTAGGTACTCTTATTTGTCAACCTAAAGGTGGCTTCCCAAAGGAAGGGACATTTGGCTCCTGAGTCTTGGAGGAATAGGATTTATTGAAGCAGAGAAGGGGAAATATCAGAAGTCCAGGAGGAGAGAATGGTATAGGGAAAGGTACAGACTGTGCCCAACTTACTATGGTTCAAATTAAGATTTTTCGACTTTACAATGGTGCAAAAGGGATAAGCATTCAGTAGAAACAATATTTTGAATTTTCATCTTTCCCTGGACTAGTAAAATGTGGTACTGTAGTGTCTCGCGATGATGGGCAGCAGCAGCAAGCTGCAGCTCCCAGTCAGCCACGTGATCACAAATGTGAAAAACCGATACTGGCTATCTTCCTGAAGAACACTGTGCCTGCTACGCTACCAGTAAGTGTCGATGCCCCAGTGCCTTCTAACAGCTATTTTTGAGCTTTGTTGGAAGAGAGATATTGATAATCCTGTCGCTGTAGCATCCCCATCATCTGGCAATTAATTTTAGTTCAATGCTTGGAGCATTCTTTAGGCTCAGTGTGCTTTCAAATTAATAGTGAGTACCCTTACAACCATTCTATTTTTCAACATAGTATTCAATAAATTACACGAGATTATTCAGCACTATCATAAAACAGGCTTTGCATTAGATGATTTTGCCCAACTTGTAGGCTAACGGAAGTGTTCTGAGCACATTTAGTGTAGGCTAAGCTATGATGTTTGGTAGGTTAGGTGTATTAAATGCATTTAAACTTAGGATATTTTCAATTTCTGATATGTTTATCAGGATGTGACCCCATCATAAGTTGAGGAGGATCTGCATAGGCCTGTGTGACTGAAGCTGGTTGGGGAAGGTAAAAAGGGATGAAGGTGGGAAAAGGTAGGTTAAGAGCAGAATGTGAAGGATGTTGAATGCTTGTAGCTTTACCCTTTCTGTCCTACTTAATGAAATATGAAAACATCACCTATTTATTTTAGTATTCTTGCCAAAAATGTGGATTTCTTATAGCCCTCAACCACTTCCTAACCCTGAGCCAGTTCACAGATCCAGAACTTCTTGAAGGGAGGGGAGGCCAGATCCCCCTAAGGAAAGACTGCTACACTGCCAGACTATATACTGGTTTCAGTTTCACTTCAGAGTATCCTGTAAGGGATCCTAAGCTCCAAGGAAGGCTCTGACAGTTCTTTGGCTACGGCTTTGGAGGTGGTGATCAGATGATCTCTGAAGTATTCATAGTGGACAGCATTCAGTGTTGTGAGCAGCCAGCCATCCAGTTGGCTTTATAGCTGTAACACTGCTCAGGCTGGCACCTGGAGCTCCTGAAAGTGGTGGCGACACTCTGCTTGCCAGACCAGGGTTTGTGGATTATATCCAGTGCATTTATCATCTCCTTCCTGCCACTTCTCTTGAGAGTACTGATGTTACCTAATCCAGTAAAAAAGAAAAAAATTAGTGGGGAGGTGGGAGTAGACCAGTAACTACAGTAGTTACCAGAAACAGTTCTCCTATTTTTCCATGGTAATAGAGTTGATATTGAATCACATGGCTGCCTAACTAGGACTATATAAGAGTACTTCAGAAAGTTCATGGAAAAATAGGATTAAAAGATAATATGAATCTTTCCATGAACTTTTTGAAGTACCCTCATATTTGCAATGTCCTCCTTTTAAGTGTTATGAAGTGACTAAGTTCACCTATGGAGTTTGAGTGGAAGTACTGCTAATTCCAGGCTGGGACCCTTAGGACAGTGGATGTGCCTTCTCCATGCTCTTATCCTTTCCCAAAAGTGGTAATAATATCAATGCAACCTTGACATTTTGCAAAGCCAAGAGATAGAAGGAGCCTGGATCCCTGCATGACCACATGGAGTACTGAACTTCTATGTGAGAATGGAATAAATGACTTTATTCTTTAGGCCACGTTGTTTGGTTTCTTATAGCAGCTCACCTTTTGCTCAAATTCATTGCTTATTTTTGTCAAATGACATCCAAGAGTTAGCTTCACTGACATAGGCCCTGAGCAGGCTGTACCAGTTATGCATTTCCATTGTAATAAGTGATCTTGGAGCAATAGGGACTCATTGTATAAAAGGCTTTGCCAGTCCACTAAGTTTCAAGCTATATTTAAAATCTTGATGACAACAATACAGTCTTGTGCACATTTATATAGCAGTGGACACAATCTAATTCTATACATGTTGTTTTTTGAGCTCTGTTCCTGCAGACTGATGGTGTTCTAATGCTAGGCTTTTATCACTAAAATTGGCTAAAATTTAAAACTTTTAAAAGTTTTTTCCCATTAATTTTTCTTTTGTTTGGTGGCTAGCTGGTAAGGGGATCCAAACCCTTGACCTTGGTGGTGTAACACTATGCTCTAACCAGTCCATTAATTTTTAAAAACAACTTTATATTCTGCTACTTCTATAGAATAGAATATAGTATACCATATTGAATGTAGCTTAAAATATACTTATTTCAGGTTTAATATACTAAATGTTTTACAGAATTCTGAAAAGCACCATACTTTTCTATTATTTCACTATCTGAACAAGATTAGAACCACCATTCTGGTGTTTGGTGGTTCACAAAACACTTTCACATGCAGTATCTTGCCGATGAAGATTTTATTCTCATTTTACTGTATAGCTACCTAGTGACAGAGCCAGGGTTCTGCCCAAATCTTTAGACTCTAGCCCTGGTGTTCTTGGGAGAAGTGGAAAAGGTTTGGTGGTAATTGAGAACTAAGTTCAAATCCTGACTCCAATAAATACTAGCTGTTTGATGAATATGGAGTTAATGTATAATTATGTGCATTTTGAGAAGTGCCATTTAAGTGGAATGAACCTGGTAATTCAATTCTACCATTCTAGGAACCAAGATTAATTAAACACAGTTAACACTTTTTTAGTTTTGCTACAACATGTTCAGAGATTCAAGACTAAGATTGCTGCCAATAACAGCCCTTTGAGATGTAGGAAAAAATCTTACTTTTCCTCCTTGTAATTGGGGAGAAATAACATGAAGGGAGGAAAATATCTTGTCCTCTACATACTCTATGCAGTCTCCAAACTATCTACTTAATAGAGATAAAACCAACCTGAAGCTTATGTACTGACAGATAACCATCCCCAAACTTCTTTTTCATTCTTTAGTTTAACTTCTTGCCCACTCAGAATCTCAAGCATTCATATAAAAAAGAACCAACCCTCTTTAAATTTCCAACTCTCATACACTATGGTCTTTAGGGGGGGTTGGGGATAAGCCTTTCAGGAATCCTTGCCAGACAAATATGTTGGTAAATGAAAGTCAGAAAAGGGAAACAATACTTTATGCTGAGTGGGAAGACTCTTCTGTTGACTGACCTAATAAATTCAGTCGTCTCCATAGAACACTGAAGCTGCAAGGAAGCCTTTGAGATGGTCTGGCACTCTCATTTTACAGAAGTAGAAATTGGGTCAGAGCACTCAACCTGCTTGAGCTAACGAGAGAAGTGTCTCCTCATCCAGATCTCCTGAATCCTGGAGTCCCATGTGCTTTGCATCACTCTGCAAGATCAACTTTGTGGTGGATTTATATTAGACCACCGTAATCGTCTTTTCCAAGGTCAGTTGCTTTGTTCAGTTGTCTAAAAACGCTAAAACAATTATTGGCATTTAAGAGAACTAGTTTCATAATCTTAATAGTATTGTTTACATTGTCTGGAATCAAATATTCCAGAGAGTGCGTTGCAAGTTACTTCTAAAGTTGGCATAACAGCACCTTGTAACATATAGCAATAGAGATGTGAAATTTCCTTGGCAAAAAGAAAAGTTAAGGCTGAAATTGATCCCTAAAGTGGGAGCACCTGACCAGCTAGTTAGGTCTGTTCGAACAGAATAAATTGACTCTAATTCTGTAACCAAGTATATATACATGTATACACCCAATATCTTACTTTTTCACATTTCCTTCCCAAATCATTTGAAAGCCATCTTTAAACTTTATTCCCCTAGTAAAGTTTACGATTTTATGACCTTAGCAAAATGTGAGCTTGGAGGTGCAAAATTCAGTTATTCCTGCTCATTTCTCCTTGGCCCAGTTTACCTGGAGCCTTTCTAATGTGTTTGAGAGTTCACAGAAAACCCATGTGACTGTACAGGAACATTCCTTGTTTTTAGATTGTTCCAGTGAATGGCCAGAGAATCCAACTGGGCAATTAGCAATCTTCTCATTTGACTAATTAAGAGGGATTTTTATCCTAATTGTGTTACCAGCACTGAATGAGGCTCTTAAGTGTTTTTTTTTTTTTTGATCCCAACCATTTTTTTTTTTGTGCATCCAAAAATGGTCATGTATTTCTATAAATGGTAATTAGTTGTGCCTCTTCCAGACAGCTTTAAGGGATAGGGGAATCATCTTCAGACTCTAGAATTTATAACCCAGGGTTGGAGACTGGCTGATGGCAGGTTTTTTGTTCAGCAGTGTTTCAGAAATGTTTGAGTTGGTTGCTAGCATTTAAAAGCTTGGAGATTTCACAGAGGTCCAGAATCCTGGCTTCTCTTGAAAAATCTAATGGTCTAGCAATACTGATTTTTTCCATGGCAGTTGCTGAGAGTTCATCAGAAAAGAGCAGCTCAAGAAACAAGTGTGCCTACATTATGTTAATAATTGTTCTCAAATCCTCTGGGCACTCCTGAAATATGTGAATACCGATACTTCCAGTACAATTTAAAGCCTTGGCTTCCACTACCCAAAGACCAAGCTGGGTAGAGACACATGCTACACATAGATCTAGCAGTCCTGGAGTAGACAGTGTCAGAACTGGAGTACACGCTGCTAGACTGCTTTGTGTGTCGGGGGGTGACATCCACACATTTAGTCACAGAAGTCTTCTGTGTGACTGTTGCTGAGTGAGAGTATAGGAAAAGCACATTTGCTTGTTTACTCCCATATATCTAGAGGTACCTATTCCAGTTTTACCGTTCCTTTAATAAGGCCCATGATTTGGACCTAAAGTGAGAAGGTTAAACAGCAATTGTCTCTCTCTTCCCTTCTGGTACTTTTAACTCAGGAACTATAAAGCAGAGTGTAGAGAATAGCAAATACATACATGAATGAACCATTTTCTTTCAATGAGGGCTGAAAGGAGTTCCTGTTGACATTTTGCCAGCGTCCTATTGGCCCAGGCAAAAAGTTCTACAGAGACTGCTCTAAGTGAGGAAAATGCATTTCTAAGATTCTGCTTCACACAGGTAGAGATTAGAGGAAGTGTTTTTAACATTGGATACTTACCTTGGGACTGTTTTGGAGTTTAGTGACTGAACAGATACTTTGCACTCTTTTCCTTTTTGTCTTTTTCCGTGTCCGGCAACGGATCGCAACCCTCAGTGTCGCGCTGGATACTTACCTTGGGACTGTTTTGGAGTTTAGTGACTGAACAGATACTTTGTACTCTTTTCCTTTTTGTCTTTTTCCGTGTCCGGCAACGGATCGCAACCCTCAGTGTCGCGCCCGTACTGGACCGGGACCGGCAACGGGATCGCAACCCTCGGTGTTGCGCCCGCACCTCGCTCAGCCAGTGAGCAGGAACCGGTCTGTATGTGGGATCCGAACCCTCAGCGGGGGTACCTGCATTTTTTCAGGCTAAGTATCACCTGTTTACTATTTGTTACCCATCCTTTATAAATAACACATTGTAGCAGTCTTTTCTAAAAGGATGCCCACTGTTTGCAGCATAGGTTCTGAAAATTTCAAAAAAGTCAACAAGTCTGCTAATACATTATGTGAAATTGTGATGGAACATACACTCTCATACATTATGTAAATGGAAATCAGGAGAATTTCTTTTGGAGAAAAATTGGCAATATTCGTCAAAGTTTTAAATATATAACCTGTCCCAGTAATTACGTTGCTCCCAATTTATGTGCACATGCATCAGTGTAAGATAAGGTCTATATGAAGAAATTCAAGTCCATCACTAGGGACTGGCTAAGTAATAGACTATTGAGTACAATATTAAGCAGCCATTGAAAGAATGAGGTAGGCCTATATGCACTAATGTAGTATGGCTACATATAAAGAGAAAAAAAGTCACACCGCATATAGTTTACTACCATTTTTAAAGAAGACACACTTATATAAATGTGCTTTGAACATCTGAACGATACACTAGAACTGGATGAGTGGTTACTTCTGGGGAGGAGGACTGGGGATGAAGAGTCATTCTTTTATCATGTTTGAATTTTTTTTTTTTAACCAAGTGTATGTACTTCCTTTTCATTGCTGATATAGTTTTTAAATGCCCCATACCAGGGAAATGATGTTAGGATTACTGTAAAGAGTTCTCTCACCGTTGGTGCTTTTCTCCCATCCAAGTACTAACTAGGCACGACCCTGCTTAGCTTCCGAGATCAGACAAGATTGGGCATGTTCAGGGTAGTAGGGCCATAGACCACTGGTGCATTTCTGAAGAGGGTCTGTCTAGCCTTGCCCTATCCAGGGATGGGCATGGGGAAGATGTCAACCCACTGGTTTCCTACTGGATTCATGTCGTTCCTCCCCAGGGTCTGACAGTTGTTCCCTGCTCCGACAAACACAGAAACATATGCTTCTGCACCTCAAGTCCTCTTTTTCCCACCTACTAGTAGGGATGTGTCAACATGCAGGAACTAAAAAGTAAATGATGAAATAAATCATGCTCCTGAACAGAGGAGCAAAATGGACATTATCTGGATACATTTGCAAAGATTTATACTGTATTCAGAAAGGTAGTTTGTTATTTATTAAGCATTTATTAAATACCTCACTAAAGGTTCTGGTTACCACTAGGACCTTTAGTTAGGACTGAGATGTATATGCAAGAATGGCACATATCACAATATCCGTTCATTAGTTCAAATCCAACATAATTTTCCCTTTAACTAGAACCTCATATTAACTCGAAGTACTCAGTGGCACAGTGTCTTCTAATTTGAAGATTTTAAAAGAAAAACATAACCAGAAGACCCAGTTTTCAAAACTGCTATTAAAAGGCCAACAAATTAGCTGGAAGTCAAGGATAAAAAGGAATAACCTCTCTTTAAATAATAAATCTACATAAGTCCTCTGCCACAAAAAGCAGATCCTTATAGTTCTGGACTCTTCCCATGAGATAATCACCATCTTGCTGAGAGTGCGAATGGTACCCTCCCCCCAGGAGAAAAAAAATTCACCCAAACAGTTTCTACTTGTTTTTACCATATATTCTAGGGGTATGTGTAGGGTTTTTTTGTTTGTTTTTACATTTATACAGTTTACATTGCTTGACCCATAAATAACACTCGTAAGATTAATAGGGCCATAGCTTTAAAGAATATTTACATAGCCCCACCATGCATACAGAGCCTTTTTTAATATTGAAAAAATAAAAAACAAAAAACAAAACCAAAAAAAACCTTTCCATCACTATGCAATATAAATTTGACCATCTAAACTTATAAACCCTGACTAAAATACAAGCAATCATTTCAACCATAAATGCTGTTTCTGGTTCTCTAACAAATCTAGCACTGCAGTGTAACAAACGTCTTGCAATTCAGGGATTATAAAAATATCAGCTTTAAAATCTTAGCTGTACAGTATATACATTAATATTTGCACCGTTAAATTAGGAATACACTTAAGTCTATGAAATACTACATTATAAATAGCAATTTTTTTTTTCAATCTGTAGCTGCAGCTAATACAATGTTTACCTGGCTGATGAGAGTTGAAAGGGGACAAATTGGCCCCAGCACAATATAGGATGCACAGTGTTAGCTAGGTCACTGTGACGACATGCATGCCTCACAACAAGACAGACCTGAGCCAACCTGACTTACATAAACAACAAACACTATTGCTTTACAAAGGTGGCTGGAGTTCTCCATCTTCAAAAATCAATACCGCCATCCAATCACTTCGCAACAGTTTCTTGAGTATTCTCTTGAGGTCTGGAGACCAAAGCAGCTATATAAAACTGTAATGCAGTAGGCACAAGATGTCATGTCATCCTGGTACCATCCAAGGAGAGTAAACTGGAGAAATCACACCTTTCAAATGTTAATCTGACACTGTAAACGGCAGTGGGGTTCTCATTTACATGGGCAAAGCACTTTAAACTATTTTAGCAAATTTCCTACGGAAGAAAAAGGATATGATTCTGACAGTTAATGGCTAAGTTTTAAACAAATGATCTCCATAGCTACTCGGTTAGGAAATAATACAGTTTTTGCCCTTGTGTCCCTTTTTCTTCTTGGATTTAGTTGTTCTCTGACCAAACTGAGGGGTGGGGAGTGCAGAAGTTGGACTAGAAAGGTCATCTGTATAGTAGGCATATCTCTGTGGCCGGGGTTGAGGAATTGGTTGTCCAAGAAAATATCCTTCTTCTTCTGAGTCGGAAGAGGATGAGGAGGAGGAACACCAGGAATCATCATCCTCACCATACAGTCCCAGAAACCTACTCACTCCTGGGTTCTGCAGTGCATAGTCCGAAGTGGCGTGGGCATACTGTCCATAGAAATCACCATTCTGGATGTATGCTTGGATCTCCCGGGCACTTTTATTCTGTATAAACTTCTCATAGGTATCAGGGGTGTAAAGCCGCAGTCTATCCTTGGGAGAGTATTTTCTTTCTGTAACAAGATTCAGGGCATTATCAGAGCGGGACTTTCTACTTCTCCTGCGGCGATGGTGATGAGACCTGGATCCCCTCTCTTCAAAATGGTAGACCCGTCTCCGAGTCCTTTCACTCATTGGAGGCTGCCGGATTTCGATGTTGTCATAGTTTCCATTGTCAATGACATCATCAGAAAACTTGACCTGCTGTGGTCTGGACTGAGACTTGGATCTTCTCAGCACTGGCAGATGTACTGGTTTCTCTTCAGGCATGATTTTTTCTGGACACAACTCTGAACTTAGACTCTTTAAGGATTCTGCACTCCTGTGCAGCATGGAAGAGTTCAAAGTTCCCATATTACTCATTTTCTCACAATCTTCTGCCTCCATCTCCTCAAAGTTTTGCAGAGAATATAATGATGGCCTTGGCTTGTTTTCCCCATCTGCCGAAGCTCCTAAAAGAGAAGCCAAAACAAGATGTGAATCTCAATAATACTGATATTCTGACAATTATTACAAACAAGCTACTGAAAGGAAACGTTTCAAAGAAAATTTCCAGTTTCAATATTTGATTAAAACCCACTAGGGAAAACGAATGTGCATATACATACCAATTGAGAAGTATGAATTTTGTTATTAATACAAAGGACACAGCTTCTCAAGCCCAGCTGTTTTGGTGCCAAAGATTAATTATAAGTACCAAAAATTGAATAGTTCTTCCAAGAAGCCTCTTCAGTAGTTTATTAATATAAAATGTAGAAGCTTCTGGCTCTCAATCCATTAAAGCCAAATTGCTTCATCTGAACTTTTATCAAATCAACAATTCCTTCCTTTGCATCCACATGGCCCCATCATGGGCAAGTCTTCCTCAACTTATGCTCACACTCATGGTTGGCAAGCCATAGCCCCACAGCCTGTTTGTGTATAAAGTTTTATTAGAACACTGCCACACCTACTTATATACATATTCTCTGTTGCTGCTTTCTACAATGACAGAGCTGAGTAGTTGCAACAGAGACCATATGGCCTAAAAAGTACTATCCAGCCCTTTATGGAAGTGGTTTCCTAACCCCTGACCTAGACCTTCATCTAGTCTTCTCTACCTTCGACCCATAAAATATGCCACTTCAGATTCTTTTTTTAAAACTTTTCTCAAAACTGATTATTTTCTGATGTTAAATGCTAGAAAGCACAACAGATATTGATATCCTTTGTTATAATAGGGCCCAGGGAAGTGAAGATAAATATATATATAGTCCAACAGACTGTGACAATAGGGAGTCGTGGGGACTAGTGTCAAGTGGAGACTATATAAGTTCCTACTTTGTAAAGGGAACCTGTTTTTCAGCCCATTGTCAAGGGAATGTCAGCCCCTAACACTTAAACTTGTACCACAGTATGTCTGTTTTTTGGTATGAAGTGTTAAAATATCTAGCACAGGTCCTGGCAGACAGGAGGTGTTAACAACTTAGGCTCACCCACCATTCTTCCTCAGCTCCCCTTTATTGCAGAATTTGTCTTATCCCTCTGTGGGAATGCAGTGCCTGGCACAGGTCATTCCTGGCACTGGGCAGCCGCTAAAGCCTTTTCTGTCTGTATTACAGTAAGAGCTTATGAAAGGATTGAATGTCATTAGTTTGAACATTTCTACATCCAAAGACTTATCACAAATACGAGATTCAAAATGCACTGGGTTCTAGGCCCAATCTTGCCATTAGAACCTATGCAATACTAGGCATTTAGCCTCTTGGTAATTCAAGTTTCCTCATTTGTAAAATGCAATATTATACAGCTCAGGGTCATTTTAAGGATAAAATATGGGTAACTGATATGAATGTGCTTTGATAACATTAAAGAAATATTTTATAATCTGAGTAAAAAATGTTCAGCTAATTTTGAGCTATTGCCAGAGGGCAATTCAGGAAAGTGTAAAAAAGTGTTATGAGCTTAAAAAGTACACAGGCCAATTTTAATATTTTAAAATTCATATAGCACAATCCAGAGTATGGTTATTTTTCAGACAACCCAATTGCAGACAACCCAATTACTTATCCAAATAAATTAAGTTCTTCCTCTTTAAAACAGGGATAATATCTATCCCAAAAGAATGTATTGAAAAAATATTTTATACATATGCATACACACGTTTGTGTTGCTATTGTGTTTGGCATTTAAATTGAAATACCTTCCTTCCCTTGGTCCACAGTTTTAAAGAACATAACCCCTACTGGTGCTGAATTGCAATCTGGTGAAGAAACTTTTCAGTGACTTATTTTTCAAATATACCATGATCCCTAGATTACGTACCTGTGATATTAGACAAAGCCAAAGAATCCATAGAGTCCCGAACACTTTGCTCTGGTTTCAAGTCTGACAAACACTCTAGGGAATCTTCATACCACTGTGTTTGATCATGATTATATCCTGAAGCACCATGGTCCAGATCCAATTCCTGGAGCCTTCTACTGCTTGCAGGGCCTGGGTGGCTGCCATAAGCAGAATCGCCCAAACCATCTTGTGACTGTGCCCAATACATATCAGATTGGTATTTTTTACTTGCAAGGCTCTGGTTATTTTGCTTTAACTCAGTCTTATTTTTAACCATGTTATCAGATATCCAATGGTCATTGGCTCGAATATCCATCTCACTGGGCTGCTGCTGAAAGAGGCTTTTATCACCAAACTTGAGGAGGAGCTGTGTCATATAATCTTCATGCTCAGCCCATTCTTCAGGGTCTTCTGGGGTTTCCTGCTCTACTCTGCCTTTCCAAAATTCTTCATTGACAAAACTTGCTCCTTGCCTGGAGAGACTAAGATCATCCAATTTCCGAGAAAGAGTGTCATCAGCATTGCCTGAAAGGCCAGGAAACTTGTAGTTCAGAGCTGGCGACAAGAGAAGAGACTGTCTACACTGATCTGCTGACCGACTGCTTTTGCCCATTCGAACACTTCTTCGGGAATCTCTTGATCGAGCTGACTGAAATGCAGAGTCAGAAGAATCGGAGGCATGGATATCTTCACCGAGGCTGCATGTTTTTGAGCAATAAATGTGACCTTGTTTGGGAAGGAAGGGGCATCCCAGCAAAGAGGCTTTACACTGGGCACAAGAAAAGCATGCTTCTGTGGCATGCCAGTGCTGCCCATCATAGGTCATCTGAGCATGGTCAACACCTGTTTTGAAAAAGGATAGAACAGGTTACCATTTAATACTTGAGATAAAGGAATAAGAAATGGAGAAAAGAAATAAAGACCACGGGCATGGGGGCACTCTCAGGGGTGATGGAAAGGTTCTACATCATGATGGGGTTGTGGGTTTCTAAGGTAAAATTAATCGTCATTATTCACGGTTTCTGTATTTGTGAATATGCCTACTCTCTAAAATTTACTTACTATATTAAGTGAAATAAGCCAGGCACAGAAAGAGAAATACTACATATTCTCACTTATTGTGGGAGCTAATAAAAATAAATAAATATACAAACAAATAAACGGGGGAGGGGGGGAAGACACAACCACTACAGCAATTCCTTGAACTTGTTAAGTGAACAGATATGATGTTGATGGGGAGGAAGGGGGAGAGGGAGGGAGGAAAAGGAGGAATTGGTAAAGGGACATGAAAATCAACTACACTGTATACCGATAAGTTAAAAAAAATTAATAAATAAATCTTACTTGCAACCCTAAAATCGATACTTGCAAACCTTTTTGTGGTCATTAGCAGACAAGCAAAGCAGGAAAAATATGAATTGACCAACATGTACATTCACAGCTGAAGTCAAAGAAAGCAATGCTGTGCCTTTTGTTTTGGTGCTCATGCTGTAAAGGAGTGTCCTATTCATAGTCTGTTTAGTGCCATGTTTTTTTTTGCATTTTTGTGCTTTTTGTTGGTGATTTTGCTATTTAAAATGGCCCCTGAGTGCAATGCTGAAGTACTGTCTAGTGAACCTAGGTGCAAGGCTGTGATGTGCCTTATGGAGAAACTACATGTGTTAGATAAGCATCTAATCTTGAGTTATGGTGCTGCTGAGCCATGAGTTCAATGTTAAGAAATCAACAATGTATATTCAATAAACCAAAACACACATGGAACTGGTTATGTATTGATGGGTTGATGGACATGTTCTGACCAAAGGCTCACAGGAACCCAACCCTGTAGTTCCAAAAAGAGCAGTGGTTCAGTATTTACCAATTCAGTGTTTGTGGCAACTTTACAGAACATAACTACTGTAAATAATGAAAATCAACTGTGTATTCACTTGTCAAAACTCAAATTGAAACATTTAAGATCTGTATAACTCACTGTATGTAAATTGCACCTCAAAAAAAAAAAAAAAGAAAAGGAAAAAATAAGACTGGGTAATCATAGACCACTGGCTGTGTGACAGGGCAGACAGGCCTAGCTGTTGACTTACCAATATGTTCCCCACACGTCTCACAGTACTCGGCATAGAGAGACTCGAAACAGCCACAGCAGAATGGGCGGCCATCCTTCATGATATACCTCTGTCCTCCGAGGACCGTTTCACACTCCAGGCAGCAGAAGTGTTTCATGTGCCAATGGCGACCCTCGGCTTCTGTGCACTCATCAGCAAAAATTATCTTTAAAAACAAACATTAAGCCATAGGATGAAAGAAAATCATTGTGAACTATTTTAAAGGTCAAGTAATTGACAAACACTAGCTCTTAAAAAAAATCAGATAGCTAACCTTGTTTTTTATAGCTTAGCTGCAAGCTTAAATCTACCTTGATTTAGCTACAAAACAAGAGCATAAATTGGCAGTTTGAAAAAGAGAAACTAAATAAATGCTTGCTTAAACTTTAAAAAACAAAATAGATTTCTACACTGGAACTAATTCATTTGGTCATATTTTTGCTCTCCAATAACGCTTTGTTGGCATAATCTGGCAAAGAACACATTAATATGGAAATAATTTGGTGGTCTGTGTTTTAACAGAAAGAAAACTCATAAAAATGTCTGTGGAGTCAACACAATTATAGCTAAATGGATGCTGGAATTGTGTGAACAGCACTAGTGTAGATAATGCTTCATTTGTCTTGATGACTCCTCCGGACTAAGGACTTTTATTTTTTATATTTTTGGTTTCAAAAAAATGTTCAAATAGCACATCACTGAAAAAACTTAAAAAATAAATGTGTAAAAGTAAAAAAGTTTATTGTTACAGATTGAAGGAGACTAAGGATACTTAGTAAGTAAATGCAATGAAGTACCCTGCATTGGATCTTAGAACACAAAAAGGACATTAGTAGAAAAACTGGGAAAATCTATATCAAGTCCATAGTTTAGTAATGATGTTATACCAATGTTAATTTCTTGGCTTTGATACGTACATCATGGTTATATAAGATGTTAGCATGAGAGGAAGCTGGGAGAAGGGTATACAGACCTCTGTAGTATCTGTGCAACTCTTCTGTAAATCTAAAATTACTTTAAAATAAAAAAGCTGAAGCCTTTTCCACTACCATCACTTCCCACATGTCCCAGGGGTAACCTCTATTAACTTAGTATACAAAGGATCTTCAAAAAGTTCATGGAAGGATAAGCATTAGCTTTTAACTTATACGTGCACTGTATCTATTTTTTCCCACTTAGCAACAAAAATAGATCATCTGCTACATGCTCTTCTGCAACTTGTTTTTTTCTTACAACCCATCAAGGACATCATCATACTTATCAAAGCACAAAGACACCTGCTGCCCTCTCTTTTTGGATACATATTATTCCATTGTGTGAATGTACTGGGTTATCTTAAAACTATACATACAGAGCAAAACCCAGGAGATATTTATATTTTGCTTAGATGTGAACAATGGAATATTGGCTTACTATAAGCTTATTTTTCCAATGTTAAAGGATGAACTGTTTGTTATACCTCGTCACATGCCGAGCACCGTGGTTTAAGCAGTTCCGCATGGTGCCTGCCACAGTGAATTTTTCCATCCTGATAAAAATAGATGAGGTCGACCAGCAGCTCGTTACACGTGAAGCAGACAAAACAGGATGGGTGCCAGCACACTCCGGGGCCCGCACGAGAGGCAAACACGGCAACCTCCCCTCCGTTTATCTTCAACCCACACTAAAAACAAAAGGATGTGAATTTTAAATGATCCTTTTTTAAATGACTGGATTCTCAGCCTTTCCTACTCTACTGTAAATCCCAGATTTGTCAGGAAAGCTTTTCTTTTTGTCTCCTGTTAGTGATTAAATAGCTCTTTAATGCTGGATTACTTGGGATTCCTAACTGTAAGAACAGGCCTCAGATACACTATGACACCAGACTGTTCCTAAGCATGGTTTAATCTGATTCACATTAATAGTGGTTTCCTCAGCCAGCCTCCTGCTGGATACATTTCCTACTCTGAGAACTGCCAGTAAAGCTCTGAATGTCTTCATTATGTTTCTGCATTTTTCGAATACTAGGTGTATCCTAGCACCTCCCTCCACGTCAGGATCCTACAAAAGGCAGGATTTCACCCAGTGTTTACACAAGGGCAGTTTGACCCCCACTGTCATATATGGCAATGTAGCCAGCCAGAGATATGAATCACTATTTAATAAAAAGCCAGGTTGTCTTTCTCTTACTCTTTGAAGGCTTTTAGGACCCTTGCCTGTGCCAGCCCTGTCACCTGCCCCCAGCTTACTCCATCCACATCACTACCACCAGCTACTCATTCTGGCAGGACTACCTGCTCACACATGGCGTGCATGATGGCTCTGGACAAGAGTTTAATCGTCCCTCTCCCAAGTGCTTCCTTCTTCCGCTGAGCACTGAACACCTGCAATTCTTTTTTCTCCTCTTCACTCAGAGACTGGCAATACCGCACCTTCACAGAAAGGAAAACAGAAGTGCCATGCTGCAGTGCATAGTCTTCCTCACCAACTCTTTATTTCCAGAGTTAGAGTTTCAGGAAATAAAACAGTTTAGCTGGCCTGCCTCCAATAATCCCTGATTTTAAAATGACACCATACCTAAATCTTGCAGTCTCTCTAGAAAAAGGAAAAGGCAATCTGAAGGAATGGTCTTTATTAATTTTTTTAATATAAAATGTTTATTAGTTCAAACCCTTAGCAGAGACATTTCGAAAAGCAAGCCATTAACCTTTCTGTAAAAGGTTTCAGCTTGCTAACTGCCACTTTCACTCCGCTTTCTACAGGCACTCGACTCAGCTGCAGGCCTGAGCTCCCGGGAAGCATTCTCTCTGGATGCAGGCACAGGGCAATCTCAGGACTTTGCAGGCTCCTGATAATTGGTGGGTGGCTGCAAACACTATAAAAACCAACTTGTGTTAAGTTTATTGCACTGACACCCTTTTTCTCTCTTCTCTTAAAGAATGGAAAGCTGTATTCTCCAGCCAAATTTTAACTGAAGAAAGGCAAGAGAGAGCCCTAGCCAGTGAGGAGCTGGTTTATGAGAGGCATCTCAATGCTTATCCTGTGTTTGTTCTTTTTTCTAATTAGCCTTCTTCCTGTATTTTACCTCATTGTCATGTGGTGGCAATTGGTACAAAAGCTGTTTAATCCGATGTTTCTCTCCAGGGCTGTTAACATAAGGAACCTTTTCCTCTGGTAAGCAAGCAAAATAGAGCTGGATCTGCACAAGACATGGGGAGATTGACATTAGTATACAAAAACTGAACATCTTAGTCTTTAGAAAGTTAACTTTCACTAGATACAAAGTCTGGCCTCTTGTAGCTAATGAGAAGACCAGCTGAGCCAGCTCGACAGAACCGCAAACCTTCAGATAACTAGCATCCAGCTGCTAAACTGCTCTTCAGGAATGTAATTTGTAGTGACAATTAGGGGCATCATAAATTATGTACCATAAACTACGCACACTGAATGCCACTATTCCTCAGCCAAAACCAAGGGTCAGCCAGAAGATCAGTGAAGGTCCTGGGTGAATTCTACAAATGACCACACGGGCTGTAGTGACACTGTCCAAAATCCTACACAAGCACATTTAATTTGCTCTCTGAATTTTACATGTTACAAAGACAAAAGCTGTTTTGTTAAACTCTGTCAACTCTCCCTTATCAGGTCCTCTCAAGCATCGGCTTTCTTCGCTTCCATGGGTGCTATTTTCTAAATATCTGGAGTAAGTTTCCCTGAGGAAACTGGAGAGGAGCCATACTGAGCTGTACTTAGTTCACTTTGAAAGGAAAACTTAATTTTTGTTTGTTTTTCTCTTGTATTTAAAGAAACATCCCTTAACAGGTACTGCTAAGGAAACTGCAATGCTGAGAAGGAATGAAAGTGTTTCAAGAAAAAAAAGAGATTAGGGTATTTGGGGTCTGCGTCAGTATCTCAGTACCACACAAAACCTACCTGTCCCCCTTGCAAGAAGTAAGAAGGGGTTCTCTCTAGTAAGTAGTTTGTCAAAATATTCTTTTCTAACTGCTGCGCTGGCACCCCACCCTCTCCCCATTGTGTCAGCTCTAGAAGCTTTTATAGTTATAAACTTACTGCTACATGTGCACCAGGTGCAGTGCTAGGCCCTGGATGAACAAGGATACCCTATTTTCAAAGGAGTTCCCACCCTACAGGAAACATAAGCATAAGTTAGAAGCTACCACATAACCAACTGTCATCTTTTATTTCAAGTAATGCCTTTACCCTTATAATAATATTTATCACCTACAATTTTCAACAAGTTCATCATGGTAAGGGTATTTGGAAAATAAAAATAGGAACATAGAATGTTCTCACCTTCCTTAAAACAATACAGACAAAGCACAAAATGAACTTTTTAATGTTTTTCCAATCCCCACTGTGTGGTGACAGATTATTTTATATGCAAAGGTATCAGAGGTCAAATTTCTACGGAATAACACTTCAGATGGTTTCTTATAGTTCTGCATCTCTCTTCCAAAGCAAAAGCATTGCTGAGAACTGGCATGGAAACTTTCCTCTTTCCTTTTATTACCTTTTTGTTGTCACTGAAGTTTTAAAAAAGGTAATTCCTCTCACTGGAGAGGGACTCATTTGAAATACACATAACAAATGCATATTCATAGAGTGTGGCCTTGTAACACCAAGGTCAAGGATTCAGTTCCCCTTAAAGGCCAGCCACCAAACAAAAAACCCAAATGCATACGCAGTACTCTACATTTCACTTATTAGAGCAAAAAGAGCATCATGATGGGGGCTTCTGAATGCAGGAGTATGGAGACATTGGAAACTTTTTATTGAGAAACCTTAAAAAGCAAAAATTCAAAGCCATCCAAAGAGGAGGGAGGACTGAGAAGGGAGGTGTGACAGTGTCACAGTAATGTTCTACACATTTAAGAAAAAATGCCCTGAAGTCTTAAATCACACTGAAAAACCAATAGAAAATGGAGGATGATTAGGTTCCTACCTGCTCCGGTCTAAGGCCAGGGGGAACCCAGGCATACTCCTCCAAGGCACAGCCAGAATCATCATCGGATGTTGAACTTCTCTGACACCCAAAGGTGAGTTTGCTCATTTTGGGCTCCATCTCCAAAGGCATAATAGTAAAGTTAAAAACCTGTTTCTCAGTCACAGGACATCTATCAAACAATGGCTGCTGTGGGCAATATAAGAAAAAAAAAAAAAACAAATTAAAACCCCAAATGCATCACTCTTACCTTCTGAGAGCTTTCATTGAATACTTGTTTACACACAGCTGGGCCCAGAGAAAGCAACCAAATTACTAACGTCACCAACCCCAATGCCCAACCCCCATGCCCACTGAAACTTAAACTCTAGGTCTATACAATTTGGAAACAGACTCCCTCACTTACCAGCTCAGTATTTCAGAAAATGCTACCGAAGCTAGTTTACTTTCAGTTGCCTTTAAAAGGTGCCTCTCTACATGATTCATTAGAAAAGTTGTCAAGAAAATGGCTTTGTTGATTCTCTAACTTGCCCACAGATGAAATCCCTGTGAAGACTTAAGAGTTGTAGAAAAAAGTGTCAGGGATGGGGCCACCTGCCTTCCCACTACGAGGTGCCATGAAAAATGGCTCCGTAGACCCCACTGGGCTCCCCATATTTCCTAAGTGATTTTTCCAACTGAGTCTGAGCTGTCTGCCAAGAGTGGGTCCACTGGGCCAAACTACTTAGGTTTCAGGTTTCTAATCATGTTTTGTAAGACACTAAACTTAGTTTACAGACTGAATAGAAATAGCACTGTTAAATTCTTATACAGTACATTAAATCCTCAAGCCTTTACTGAGAACTAAAGTCAGCCAGACATTCATCAATGAGTTCCTTCAACAAACAGTAACTGAATACAGCCTTAGGTTAAAATAAAATCCAGCTTGGTGACTACTGATATTCAATCGTGTCATAAGCCAGCATTCATTGAAAAGTTATGCAGTACCTACTATGTGTGTCATGCATCAGCCCAATATTGCTCAAAGAAAGATGTGAAACTTTTTCTGAATGAAAAGCCTCAGATGAAAGGCTATAGAGGTATAATATTCTCTGCCCTATGACCCAGGAACTTTATTATCACCATTTAACTGTCTTCTGATTGTTAAAAAATCATCCCTCATCCCAAGGCACTATGAAGAAAAAAAAAGATAGAACTTTCAGAACCAGATGGAGCTTTTTATACTTGCCCCTTTCCCTCCAAAAAAATGACATGAAGAAAGAAAATTCTAGATAATTACCCCCAATCCAATCATTTTAGAGAAAACAAGGATCAGGGAAGTCACTTGCTCAAGGTCACACAGCTAAAAGCCAGAGTCTAGTCACACATTGACATGTCAGACTTCCAAAACTACTTCTGCCTTAATAAATGTTCTCATTCACTTAACAAAGTGGGAAAGGCAGTGAAAACCTAAACACTTTCAGCCTGAGACTAAGTCGTTTTCCAGCAACTATCTCAACGCAGCTCTAAATAGAGTTAGGGCTGGCTGGTTAGCCAAGGTCAAGGGTTCAGATCCCTGTACTGGCCAGCTGCAAAAATAAATAGATAGATAGATACCTAGTGTTAGAAAATGTTACCTATTAAAACCTATAATTATTAAAGCTTATGGTTTTTCTTTTACAAATCAAAGGACATTAATAAAATTAAAGTTTGGAAATGGAAGTTCTTAAGTGGAAGACCGAGCATCCCATGGCTGCAATCTTTACTAGCAGTAGGAGCAATGCTACACAGATATTATTCCAACTAATAAACTTTCATTCACCCAGAACAAAAAGTAAAGATGACCTCATTTCCTATACTACCATTGGGAGGTTATGACCTTTTAAACAAGGCATCATTTCACACAGGTGTGATTCATTCATGTCTTGACTTAGAAAGGGCTTTCTAAACATAGGCACATTCCTCTTACTCTTCAATAAAAAGGGATGTGTTAATGAAAGTCAGAAATTTTCTTGGATCTAATCTTTCCCTTTTGTTTTGGAAAAACAATTCCCACACGTCAAAGGAAGAGAACCAGAGGTTAAGAATTTAATTAGTAACTCAAAACCCCCCACCAGGAGAACAGGTACCTTCAATACAATTTAATCTGAATCATGAAACATGAACATTTGCCCCTTGCCAAATCTGGCTGAGCAGGGAGACACTAAGGCATCTGCTCTGCAGACTTACAAAGAACATAAATATTAAATAGAATCAAAATTAAATGTCACTATATTATAAAACAAGAGAAAACACTACAAATTAAGAGAAACCATGGATTTTCCAAGCTAGCACAAAGATACAGATTGCCAAAGACCTGAATTACTTTTACAGCTGTACTCCTTGATTAGCCTTTTGTGAAAAATGTACAGTAAATTACTATCCTAATCAAGGAAAATCTACGTTAGCACTAAACACCACCATCCCCTCCTCCCATCACCTGGATGCGCTGGCCACATCTCAAACCTACAACTCCCACAAGTTCATTCTACCCTTTTTACAAACACTGAGGACTGTCATTCACTGACAGTGTAAAAAGTACAAGTGAAACAACATTCAGTGACAAATCATTTTCATCACAGGCATGGCTTTCAGTTTCATTTGTTAGCACTCATAACAGCTAACTTATGCCCTTGTGCCTGGCCTGGTACAATATATTAGGCTGTGGCATTAATCACTATATCGAGCAACCCTCAACAGATAAGGAAAGTGAGCCTCAGAGCGGTTTGCCTCAGGGTCAATTGTCCAAGGTCAATAAGTTGATAAGCAGAGGCCTTAGGGCCAGGCCTATCTGTGATCATAAACCCCTACCACCCCACACTGCCTCCTGGGGGTGGAACAGATGGTGAACTAGTCATGCTATACTTCACTGCTCACACACAAAATGCCATAACTGGATAGTAGACAGTCCACCTTATGGAAGGCATTTTAAGGAGAATATACTGTCAAAAAGGATTAGAAAAAAAGTCAATGGCCTCATGCACTGTTGGTTCAGAGTTCATTCACTGGAGAAAGACTTTTTCCTTGATATCAGAGAAAAATTACTTAAAAATGACAAAACATTACATTTATAGCAAGTTCTCAGAGCTGACCATAATACAAACATTAAAAAAATAAGTTAGATAACATGACCTCCACTTGGACCAAGTTGTGGTACATTACCACTAGCTACTTCTCCTTTAACTGGTAACATGAACACTTCAACTTGGATTTTTCTATTTTTTAAGATTACTTGCACTTGCCAGCAGACCCAGAGAGAGTCTATTCTTTGACATATCACTGACTTTCACTGTGTTGGGTGAAAGCAGTTGAGTGCTGAGCATATTTCCTGTGCTTGTAAAAAGTTACAATGAAAATTATAAATAAAAATGTGATCTCACAAATATCACAAATATCCCTTAGGTATTTACAATACTATATGGTATTAACTTTGACAGCACAAAGGAAGAGGGAAGCCTTGCCACTACTTCTGATTAAAGTCTTCCTGATGAAATCTAAATGTATTATGTATTACGCATATAAGATCACAGGTGAATTAGTTCCAATAGAAAAAGTCCATTAACTTCATTTTCAGGTGTTGTCTCTTAGGTTGATCATGTGAAAAGGGGCCAGAAATCAGGTTTACAAAATAGGCTGAACTGTAATGGAAACAGAACTATTCGAAATTGGGATTATATGGAGTTATACAGAATAAAACATTCTCATGATACCTTTTTTTCCTTTTGCAGAACCACCCTTATATGGACAACACTGGTCCTGCCTGTGTTCTGCACTTTATTTTTCATGAATTTTTCTTTTGATGTAATTTCAAACTTCAGAAAAGTTGCAAGAATAGTAAAAGGAACTCCTATATATCCTTTACCCAGACTCATCAACTGTTCATTTTGCTCCATTTGCTTTATCATCATCATACTGTCGCACACACACACCACTCTCTCTTTTGAGATCCTTTTGACAGTGTGTATGTTTTACATTTTCTTACCTAACCATAGTTTAAATTAAACATAATATATCTTTAAAAAAATATTTATTTAAAAACAAAAATATGTGCAAGGCATCATGTTAGATGCTGGAGATAGAATGAAAAGCCAAAATAGTTCAAACCATCAGTATTCTGTGATTATTCTAAGGCAGGTTTATTGTCTTGGTTTTTAAATACTGTAAACTGAATAAACTTAATTACAGATGAATGACAAGTATGCATTAACCAATCCTGTGGTACGTTTGGAAATGAATCAGTAGGAATCCCACCTCTACAATGTCTCTTTATAATTCTGAATGTAAATAAATCTCAATGCTGGGGAACAGAAAGTAAAAGTTTTCAGGGATGGGTTTGTTCAGGTTCCAAATAGAGTCTGACCATTAAAAAAATGAGTAGAGGAAGCAAAACCTTTAATTGCTAAAAACACTGTCAAAGATGGCATTGAGGTCGAGAACAGGTATCTGAATTTAATTCAAGCAGGTTATGACTCTTTGCAGACACTATTCTGAAGACTAAGAGGCAATTATAAAATCAAGTAGAGAAATGAATGACAGAAGAAAAGGGCATGGACACGACAGAAGTGAGAAAGCAGCCTGAGGCTGGGTACAAATAGATGGGACACTTTCTTCTTAGAAGGATAAGGACTGTAATGGCGGTATTCCATGCAAAGCCATGCAACAGAAAATGGAACAGTTCCACCTCCCTCCTTTGTCCTTTCTCTCCCCTCTTTCTTCAAAATAGTTAAATAGCTACTTTTCACCATTTAAAAATATCCAAAGACAAATAGCTAGCAGATGTATGACCTCTCAATCATCATATAATTGTCAAGAAAACATTTGACCCCAGGGATAAGAGCAATAGTAGGCAATGGAATCTGGTGTTCTCAGCATTCAGTAAACTCAATCCTGAAGTCTTCATGCCTCTGACGAGTCACCAAACATCTCAGGACCTGATTCTTTAAAAAACGGCAACCACTTTCCTCCAAAGATGGTCTAAGGATGCAAAAGAGTTTTAAATCAGAAAAGGGTTATGTGAATATAAAGAATTAAAGTTACTATTACAATGTACCACTTGGCATTGTTACTTCCACTGTGACTACACGGATCTTGAAACTGACTAGTGATATGAGGAACAGAAACAGCATGTTAATGATAAACGAAGACCAAATGTTGACACCTGGATTTCATCTT